CCTTCATGGCGTTGAAGACATCACCCAGTTGATTTTGTACTTGTTTGATTTTCTCGTCCCAATGATGTGGGACTCCCCTAGAATGATCATGGAAGTGACTCTCATGCTTCATGCTTTGGTTCTCACCCTCATCCTCCTGGAGATAAAGGTCCTCACCATGGGAAGCAGATGGAGGAGGAGGAAGTGGGATTCCCTCATGATGGGCACCCCTATATGGGGCGCCCAAAGGGACTCCAAGGGGGCGCCCAGCCCTGCAGCAGGGTGTGGAGCCCCTTGATGCCCAGGGCNCAACTCCATTCGTAGTTGGAAAGCGGAGGATGAGGTGATTGGTGGAGGACACAACTCTTAATGTGTTAAGAGCAGGTCACCCCAATATGATATTGTAGGCTGATGGGTAGTCTATGACCAAGAAATTGACCATGACTGTGGAACTCCGGGGCAATACTCCGGCTNACTTGAAGGCCTTTCAGAGAATCTTGAAGAAAGGCAGACATTTTTCTGCAGATTTAGAAACGAACCTATTGAGTGCAGCGATTCTTCCATTGAGGCGCTGAAGCTCCTTGGTCGAAGAAGGTGACTTTATGTCGAGGATAGCCTTGATTTTATCGGGGTTCACCTCAATTCCCCTTTGATTGACCATAAAATCCAAGAACTTTTCAGACCCTACGCCGAAAGCGCATTTCTCAGGATTGAGCTTCATGTGATAGGACTTTAGGACATTGAAAGTCTCTTGGAGGTGATCAATGTGGTCTACTGCTGTGAGACTTTTCACCAGCATGTCATCCACGTACACCTCCATTGTTCGTCCGATATAAGATTGGAACATCTTGTTCACCAACCGTTGGTAGGTTGCTCCTACGTTCTTTAGTCAGAAGGACATGACCCTGTAGCAATAGGTTCCCTTTAGAGTGATGAATGATGTTTTCTCTTGGTCTGGGAGGTACATCCTAATATGGTTGTACCCAGAGTAAGCATCCAGGAAGGTGAGCAACTCATGCCCAGCAGTGGCATCGATGAGGTGGTCGATCCATGGCAGTGGGTAGCTGTCTTNCTTACTAGTCCTCCCGAGATGGTGTGGATCTCCTCTAAGGGCTGTTGGTCTTCGTGATTGTGAGGTGGTGGTTCTCGTTCTCTGCCAGCAACATACTGGCGTAGGTGGCCACGGTAGATGAGTTCCTCAATTTGTCTTTTGAGGTCATAGCANCTCATGCTTCATGCTTTGGTTCTCACCCTCATCCTCCTGGAGATAAAGGTCCTCACCATGGGAAGCAGATGGAGGAGGAGGAAGTGGGATTCCCTCATGATGGGCACCCCTGTATGGGGCGCCCAAAGGGACTCCAAGGGGGCGCCCAGCCCTGCAGCAGGGTGTGGAGCCCCTTGATGCCCAGGGCATGGAGCTCCTTGGGGTCCTCCATGTTATGCACCTCCAGGTTGCGCTCCTCCTCGTCCAGCGAGCATGAGTTGTAGTATCTGCTGGNTATATGGGGCGCCCAAAGGGACTCCAAGGGGGCGCCCAGCCCTGCAGCAGGGTGTGGAGCCCCTTGATGCCCAGGGCATGGAGCTCATTGGGGTCCTCCATGTTATGCACCTCCAGGTTGCGCTCCTCCTCGTCCAGCGAGCATGAGTTGTAGTATCTGATGGTTTTGGGCCACCAGCTGCTGCATGGTCTCCAGCATTTGTTGTGGATTTGGAGTTGGAGCATTTGGGACAGGGTTGGTGGGAAGATGAGTAACCTCCTCCTCTCATGATGGATTGTCTTCATGTTGGTTCATGGATCTGGTAGTGATCATCATTGGGTCAGCGAATGTAATGTTTAGGAGTGAGAATTTTGTCGTTTCCCATAGACAGGCACCAAACAAATAATGCACAAAATAGTTCTGCACACCACCTATCAAGTGTGAATAATAAATGCAAGAAAACTAATAATGGGAGATAGAGAGACACAGACAATTTATAGTGGTTCGATCAGCTTGACCTACGTCCACTCTTCAATGGCTTTTGGTTACCGGGTATTTTATTAACTCAAGGGAGTAGGGAGCAGAGAGTACAAGCTTTGAAGGAGAAGAAAGAGTCGTGCTCAGGTAAAAAATGTGATGCCCCCAAGTGTTGGTGGCGCGTGCAATTTATAGTAGCCCCCTCAACAGGTTGGGGCTACTTTTCAGCAACTAAGCAACTATTTCAATGGAGCTCACGACTTCCTCTGAACGGATGAAGTGGTTAAGGAGCTCCCCATGAGATACGGTCAAAGATAAGGTGAGAGTGGACNGGCTTTTGGTTACCGGGTATTTTATTAACTCAAGGGAGTAGGGAGCAGAGAGTACAAACTTTGAAGGAGAAGAAAGAGTCGTGCTCAGGTAAAAAATGTGATGCTCCCAAGTGTTGGTGGCGGGTGCAATTTATAGTAGCCCCCTCAACAGGTTGGGGCTACTTTTCAGCAACTAAGCAACTATTTCAGTGGAGCTCACGACTTCCTCTGAACGGGTGAAGTGGTTAAGGAGCTCCCCATGAGATACGGTCAAAGATAAGGTGAGAGTGGACTGTTTCCTTCTGCAGTGCAGGTAAGGCCCCCACACTCTTCCTTTTGATGACGTAGCCGAACTGATGAGACTGGACTTGGACAGTATTGGGCTTAGTGGGTCTTTATAAGATTGGCTCTTTAATTGAGGTTTGAGTTTTCCAAATAAATTGGGTCATTTTGGGCTTGACTCATCACCATCAATCATTGAGAAATCGGTTTATTTGTAACAGGAACAGTCGTTCCCACAGACGGTGCCAAACTGATGGTGTGGACTAATGTGGGTAACCAGAGTGCGTGGGACCAACGGTGAATTTAGGCTGCCAACTTTATAATGGCAGTGATGAAATATTTCTTAGGGGATAGAAAAATTTACACAGTTGGAATATAGTGGTTCACGAGCTCNCGGTTTATTTGTAACAGGAACAGTCGTTCCCACAGACGGTGCCAAACTGATGGTATGGACTAATGTGGGTAACAAGAGTGCGTGGGACCAACGGTGAATTTAGGCTGCCAACTTTATAATGGCAGTGATGAAGTATTTCTTAGGGGATAGAAAAATTTACACAGTTGGAATATAGTGGTTCACGAGCTCTGGAGCTCGGCTAATCCACTCTCTAATGGAGGTTCTTGCTCCTTTTTTCTCTATTAACTATTTGAATGTATTACAATACAATGCATGATCTAATTAGGGTTCTTCCTTTTCTCCTCTCGATGAGGCATTACATAGTATTTATAAAGCTGCTCCTATTATGTGAGATTTCAGCTGAGATCTTTGCTAATTATTCATGGAATCCTTCTTAATTTTAGGAGATAATCTCAGTTGATTGAGAGTTTCATGCATTGAGCTCAATTTCTGCAGTCATCCAGCTGTTTCTTGGTTAGTTCTGTCATGATCTCACCAAGGGGAGCTCTACCCTTGGTTCTCAGAGTTCCTCGTGTCTTTCCTGACCTGAGCTCACAGCTAGGGTTTGTTTGAGGTATAATCAAACACTAAATGAACTCAAACCAATAATTTAAAGTGCACCGTAAGAAACAAATAATTTAGGAGAATATGAAAAGAAGGGTATTGTTCAAGGGTCTAAGTGTAATTTTATCCCATGGATTTTTTGCTTTCTAATTTGGAGGAACATATATGTGTTTTGCATCAACTTTAATTGCACAAAAAATACTGTTTAAATTCAATTTAGCAGTGGATCTTAATATTCTTTAAGATTCATCGTCAATCTTAGTGTAGTATTAAATTTAGTCAATGAATTTAATACAATATATGATAGATATGTTTGTATTACGCAACGATGACCGAGAAGTGTTTAATTACTTGAATTTTTTTTTCTTTTTTGAAAGTGTAATACCCGAATAACCGATTTGCAAAAAATGTAAATTATTTTATCATTATTATGATTTTTTGTGCATGTGCATGTCTATATCACAATTAAAATGAACAAAAAATTATTATAGAAACATTTATAACAAGAACATAATAGAATGCAATCGATGTAGGTGAAGATAGCCAGAAAGAGGGACATAATGAGAGACTAATATTATTTGAGTCTTAGTATTGAAGAAGTCCATTATTAATTTAATGATCAAATTACATTAATTCTTCAATTTTTGTCACAAATTATATTTCCACAGTATTAGTGATAATAAAAACCTCAAAAAGATGGCATAAAGAAATTAGTTTTTACGTTTTGTCGAAATTGACTTTTGACCACAAGCTAAGAAAATAAATGCCATTAAGTTACGGGAGGTGGACATCTAATCAATGAATATAGTACAAGGTTCCTTCTATAACTACTACGAAGATGAGTCATTTTGTTCTTACGAATTAATGAATGAGTGGCAATCAATTGGACGGTTGGTGCCATTCATTGTGCACCGTAACAATAACAATACAAACACAAAGCTCACGGTTTGGCAGCTGCCATTGTCAGTCCAAACCAGCAAGACAACACACATGACAATATCCTTTCTGTGCTTGTACTCCACACAAACGTGCATTAAAGGAAGGGGTTGTTTGCTCGTGAAAGGAAATTACTCTTCTCCATGTTTACACCTTAAGTTATGAAATCATAAATAACGATACGTCACAAGAAAGAATCTAAACAAAAGAACATCGTTATCGTTACATACTGTCACCGTCAAATCCACATTCTTTACACGGATAGTTATCATCTTACATGTATAGGATGATTTAGACTTATTATTAAACGTGACACTCCTTAAAAGTGTTCATTGATTAACATCATGATATCTGAGAATGCAACGAATGATTAATCATGTTTACGTATCTTATGTGGAAAAACTTAATACACTCAGGATCAATATTTCCTTTCTTCAAATCTTATACTCTCGTAGGACTGAAATAAAACTTCATTCATGGCATAAAATCAACCCAGGAAACAGAAGAAAAGTAAATTTATTACTGTTTTCCTTTTGTCAATCGTTCCACTCTAGCCTCTTTACCTTCCACCCGAACAATTTAGGATGTGATGTTGAAATAAATTGTGTAAGATTCATCTCTCAAGCTAAGTAATGGAGCCAGAAGAAAGTTTCTCCGCGCTCCTTTTGCCACAAAGCTAATAGGATGATACTGACTAATTCCATCCTTCAATGTAAAGCTTGTTCCCTGTTTAAATTCCGTATCAGATGACCCGGATTTGCATCTGAGCTTGATGTTTGTACTCGATTTATAGTCCACACCGCTATACACAAAACAACCCTTCTTGCTTTCAGACTCTAGGGAAACAGTTTCATCCTGCCCATCCAATCCAGCAACCAAAAGGAAAACAGAACTACCGTCACCAGAGGAATCTGCAACTTCAAGGTTTTCATAAGTTCCTTTGTGCACGACAAACATGCCCGGAAGATCAAATGGTTCTAGCATGACAGATTTTCCAATAGCATCTTTTGGTGCTGAAAATTGTGAGGAACTCAATTCTTTTAAGATGAGTCTAAAAGTGGCATGGACAGAAGTATTGGTGCCGGGTTCAGGAAACTTTTCCATTCTTATCAATCCGTTAGAGTTTGTGAGGGAAAATTCCGAGTTCGCAGATTCCTGGGAAAGAGTAATCAGATGGGAATTGTAGTTAGCTGGAATTGGAGTAATCCAGTCTGAGACATGAGTAGCTGATTCTGTTTTAATGTCCCAATCTCCATTACTCAGTCCAGCAAGAAGGTAGGGACCATAAAGAATTGCCTGAAGAGAAGAAAACTCTGGCCGTTCATCTGATGTGCCATTCAGAGGAATGAGTTAGCTATATCCTGACACTTTGCTTTTAATGATAGACAAAGACCAAAGTATAGAGATGCTAGGATCATCACAGATACCGTATTTCTGTTATAGCATTGATAATACCTTTAATGGCCTCTGTTCTAAGACTTATGGGCAGCACAAGAGTGATTTTGTCACCAGGGCTCCAATCTCTAGTTATCGATAGGAAATTACCTGCATCAAGGAGGAGGAAAATCATGAACCTCCACACTAAGCTCCGGATAACCAATTGTGCACTGGGACTTGTAACTCTCAACTGAAGGTTAATTTTATTTCCATGTACCAACAGTGAAGTAAAAAGGTAACATACATTACGCACGCACAAAAGAACAATATAGGAAGTACAGTACAGTAAGAGCATCAAAGAGAAAAAGATTGAAGCTCACACCTGGAGGTGGTAAAGACAAATCTTCACCGTTTAATGAGGCCTTTGTTGCACCATTTGTGTATGTCCAAAGTGGTATTCTCAAGTTCAAGGTAGAAGATTTGACTGCCCCTTGCTGCATAAACGACACAAGCAAGAAATACTAGTTACACTTTGAATAGAAAAAAACAGCAAGCCTTGAACAAAGAAATTGTTAATTAACTCCCATAAGATCAGATAATGCTTTGCTTGGTTGCAGAAAATATGGAGAACTTTCAGAAAGAACATGGGATTCCAGTTTCTGCTTTTTTTTGCCACTCTTACCGACATTAAAAACAATATTAAAAGGAAAATCTAAAATGTTGGCTATTTTTTGCTTCTCCCTCTCTCTCTCTCTCTCTCCCCTCTCCACCTTCTGCTTAGAATTACCCGATGGCCTTTTTCATGTGTAAACAAACCACATTGGACTGGAACAGAGACATTTATTCTGTCTGAAAGTAAAGAACTTTAGACACAAACCCACCTGCCACTGCCAGTCTTCACAACTAGTTCCTTTACATATTAGGTTTCCAGCTCCTGTATCCTGGTTAGTTAATTTTGCCTTCTATTAAATTTCTAACACCAGGATTCTAAAGTGACCTCCAAAATCTGTTCATGTTTATTCTTCTTGTTATTCTATTTCTCCTCCTCCTAAAGATCAATTAAGTTGTAGACACTATCCTATTCTATCAGTTGATGCTCATTTAGTCCTATTTAAGATATGCATGAGTCTTTGTTGTGCGCCCGCACGAGAGAGAAAGAGAGAGAGAGAATTGCATTTTAACTTCACTTGTAAGAAATAGACAGGGAGGCGCTATAGACTTTGAGGTGACAAGCATTGACTAGAAGGGGGGTCATAGTAACGATAACTCGTGTGATTCTCAGCTTCAGAAAGCCAACACTCAAACGAAAAAAGCCATTTCCGAGGCGCGGTCATTTCAAGTAGAATATAACAAGTACTCCCAAAAGATCTCAAAGGTGGCTTAACAAACAAGAATAAACTAATGGCCCTGCAACCAAATGGCGTTCAAGAACCATATCATGCACTTTGAGGAAAATCAATTCCCCAACAATGTTGCTTCTACAACTATTAATGTTGGACCATAAAAACGTATCTAAGACAAAAATATCAGATATGCGGTAAAATCAGATACAGAAGATGTCAATGCAGCAGACTATGCATCACAGTGACGATCTAATCAGCATGCCACAGTGCTGAACCTCCTCAAAAATATAAGGTGCTTGATATGTTAGCAGCCAACCTATCTCTAAGAAAGCAGTCTACTGAATTAGGAAACAGTTTTCTCTCTGCTGAAAATCATACAAGATATCAACAGCATGATGACTTTGTGCCATGAAGAGAATGACAGTGAGTTTCGTGGAAGATCTCGTTCTTCCTTACTTCCAGATGAAACATTAGTTTAGGAGAATATTACCATCAACAAGGTGTTAAGGTAGAGGAGATAGTGTACACAACCAGGAATAAGAGAACCAGCTAATGAAAAAAAATTAAAATAATATTCACATGTCAAAAGAGAAGTAAAAGAGTATCACTTGCTATTAAATACCTCTTTTGAGGAAACTGCCAGAGTCACGTGAAGGCGATTATTCCATGAAAGGACAGGCTCTACTTTCTGACTTAGTGAAATCTGTCCAGATTCCCACTCAAGAGAGCNTTTTCATGTGTAAACAAACCACATTGGACTGGAACAGAGACATTTATTCTGTCTGAAAGTAAAGAACTTTAGACACAAACCCACCTGCCACTGCCAGTCTTCACAACTAGTTCCTTTACATATTAGGTTTCCAGCTCCTGTATCCTGGTTAGTTAATTTTGCCTTCTATTAAATTTCTAACACCAGGATTCTAAAGTGACCTCCAAAATCTGTTCATGTTTATTCTTCTTGTTATTCTATTTCTCCTCCTCCTAAAGATCAATTAAGTTGTAGACACTATCCTATTCTATCAGTTGATGCTCATTTAGTCCTATTTAAGATATGCATGAGTCTTTGTTGTGCGCCCGCACGAGAGAGAAAGAGAGAGAGAGAATTGCATTTTAACTTCACTTGTAAGAAATAGACAGGGAGGCGCTATAGACTTTGAGGTGACAAGCATTGACTAGAAGGGGGGTCATAGTAACGATAACTCGTGTGATTCTCAGCTTCAGAAAGCCAACACTCAAACGAAAAAAGCCATTTCCGAGGCGCGGTCATTTCAAGTAGAATATAACAAGTACTCCCAAAAGATCTCAAAGGTGGCTTAACAAACAAGAATAAACTAATGGCCCTGCAACCAAATGGCGTTCAAGAACCATATCATGCACTTTGAGGAAAATCAATTCCCCAACAATGTTGCTTCTACAACTATTAATGTTGGACCATAAAAACGTATCTAAGACAAAAATATCAGATATGCGGTAAAATCAGATACAGAAGATGTCAATGCAGCAGACTATGCATCACAGTGACGATCTAATCAGCATGCCACAGTGCTGAACCTCCTCAAAAATATAAGGTGCTTGATATGTTAGCAGCCAACCTATCTCTAAGAAAGCAGTCTACTGAATTAGGAAACAGTTTTCTCTCTGCTGAAAATCATACAAGATATCAACAGCATGATGACTTTGTGCCATGAAGAGAATGACAGTGAGTTTCGTGGAAGATCTCGTTCTTCCTTACTTCCAGATGAAACATTAGTTTAGGAGAATATTACCATCAACAAGGTGTTAAGGTAGAGGAGATAGTGTACACAACCAGGAATAAGAGAACCAGCTAATGAAAAAAAATTAAAATAATATTCACATGTCAAAAGAGAAGTAAAAGAGTATCACTTGCTATTAAATACCTCTTTTGAGGAAACTGCCAGAGTCACGTGAAGGCGATTATTCCATGAAAGGACAGGCTCTACTTTCTGACTTAGTGAAATCTGTCCAGATTCCCACTCAAGAGAGCTTGTTATGTACTGGATGATATAAAGACCTGGAACATTTCCCTCCTCTTCAAAGTATATAGAATCTCCCAACTTTGAGAATGATTCAATTCCTGAGAAGTGAGGGAAGAAAGAAAATTCTAAATAACACATGTTGTTTTGTTATGTCTGCTATGAATGTTATCTCAAGTTACGCTTAATAAAGATCACAATGGAACAAAAATAAAGAAATTGGTTGCAGCTATAGCATGCAAGTAGAATTCTAACTGAAAGTTATGAATCAAAACAACATAAATAAATAAAAAAGCAAATAGTTCATCAGAACTGTAATGATGGGCTATTATTTGTAATTCACTCGACCACAACAGCATGAATTAAGAGAAAAAAAATAAGATTCAGAGAGCCTAATATTTCATGATGAATTTCAAAAGATCCTCCGAGGTTTTGAAGATTCTTATGAACCACCAAATTGGGTTTTTTTCAGGAAAAGAAGAATGTCATATTGAAAAATAGACTCACCTGTCCCATAGCAGCACCAAAAAGAATTGAACTTTGTTCCCCATCCATGGTAGCTTACAGCCTTGGAGCGTCCAGGGCCATGTGGATGCATGTAGATCATCACTCCGGGTTCCCTTCCCCTTTGAATGCCCAAGACACCATTTGTTAGAGCTCGTTCATAATAATCCGCATATGCCATTTCTTTTGTCCATCTAAACAGGTGGCGAGAGACCTAGGAAATTACAATGTCAACACGTTCAAAAACATTGAACAGAACCGTGATTTATACATTAATATAATATAGAGATGGGTGGGGTAATGATACTTTGTATACAAGTGATTTAAAAGAATTGGGAAAAAAAGGGCAAGCCCTTCGGTATTTCTCAAGTTCTAGCTAAGCTTGAGTTTAACTTAGCCAAGTGCCGTGGAACTTGGCTTGTGTAAGTTTCGAAAGGCTTGAGCCTGGATCAGATCGACTCAGCTCGACAACCTAAACAAACAAAATCGAGCTCAAGTCAAGTCTATACATGAGTTTGCAAGCAATTTTTATTTCTTGTGTTTTGGCAAAAAATGTTGAAAAGCATCCATATCATAAGAACACTATAGTAAACATTCAAATCCATGAATGCGCCAATAATAAGTTTATGCCTAGCTCCAATCCTTGAAACTGTGTCCACTTATACACCTATGCTTGTGAACCTACTCAATCCAATTCAGTTGTTGCTTGAGATCTGTCCTTTATTAAACGAGCCTGGTGCAAGGCTTGAGCTCAGTCTGTTTTGTTAATGAACAATCTAAAGCCGAGCCTTGAGCTGTTTACAGGCCTACCACTGACCCTACTTTCTAATCTAATATTGTAAGTCATGATATAACTCCCCCATGAGGAAGGCAAAACCTGTTTCGATCTCCTTCAAACATTCATAATTAGGGGCACACCTTTAGCATATTGTAGGTTGTACAGGATTCTTCATTCTCCGTTTGCAGAGTGGTTGCTAATCGCTTTGGGTCTGACCTGCTCACAGGTTGAGGAAAGAATAACTAGCAAAATAGAATTAAGAATATGCTGAAGGGAAAACCAGCAACAAAGTAGAGAGAAAATAAATGAACTTTTAAGTGCTTTTTGTCACTCAAATCAGAAGAAAATAGGGGGGATTGAGGTAAGGGGTATGGAACTGATTTATAACTGAATAAAGTTTGTCAAAATGTCAAAGCATTCACACCAGAACTCACTAACTGATGTCCCTCCTGTTGCGTAGATGTGAGAAGAGTTGACAATATCCATGAAGAACGTCCCTATTTCCTGGCACAATAAAATAAATAAAAATTTCAGAATTCTGAAGAGAAATACCCTCTTTTTTTGGTCCCAAGAATCAAATTTTCAGAAATAAAACTGATGCCTATACCCTTCCCCAAGGGATATAATCAATATCAGTTTCCACAGTAACTCCCTCGGAAGCCCCTGGTCAATCAGTACTTCAAGCTGTTCTTAAGAGCTTTGGGCGCTTCTCTTTTTTCTCCTAGTCAAGATGGTAAGAGTAAGTTATCACATTTAAGGATATTTCTCCAAATATTTGGGAAGCCTATGACAGGTCACTTCTTTGGGTTGCACCATTGCTCAATTGCAGATGATTATAGTGAAATGAGATGGGTAAGAATTGAAGAATTTTTCCTCTCGCATAGGCTAATTATGAGAGAGGTTTTCAGTTTATATTTTCCCTGAAGCAGGGTTATATTTGAATTCCAGATCTGTCGGTGAGGAGGCCAGATTATAGGCAAGAGAGAGAGAAGTCCCTTCACTCCTGAGTCATTTAGGGGTTACATTTTGACCTCTTTGAGATTGTTTGGGTCCATCTCTCATTAAAGGCAAAGAACCTGAATCACCATTCTTTCTCTTTGGTATCTTTTAGTTCCTTAAATGTAGAAAGATTTCTCATTCTATGACCTTTACTTTCTTCATAATTTCTGATGGTAGTCCTGTTTTCTGTGTCATGGTCCAAAAGAAATAAAGATAAACACACTGTTCTTTGTCCATAAAAGACTGCCAAAGATAAAGGGTCAAAGGTAATCTAATAGGCATAACATACTAAACTCAACAACATTGTTCTCGAGTCATCTACTTACAGCCATTTTTACCTTATAAATTGGATCACCAGTAACTTCATACCGCCTTTGAGATCCGACAACAACGGGAATATGTGTGTTGGCATGAAAACCAGATATATCATCCGCCTACATCAAAAGACAGATGACATCCAACATCTGTAAGATTGAAGACTGGAATAAATTGCTCTTAAAATTGTGAAATGTAACATTATCGTATAACCAAGAAAATGTTTTAAAAATTGAATTATTGAGTACTCAGTAATTAGCCACTAAATAAGAAACGCCAATTTGTGTACCATTTCTCATCTACTACTTACACCAAATTACTTACAATCCTAATGAGGGATATCAGGATCTGCTTTGTCTGATGGTAAAATCCAAAAAAATCCAAGAAATTTAGAAGTTAACGAATTTTTCATCAAGATATTCCTCAAATAGAGATTTTCCCAAATAGTTTCATATATCTTCATTTACTATACTCTCAACCCAAAGATTTACCGATTTACTATACTCTCAATCCAAAGAACATAAAAAAGAGATGGCTGTGACAAGTTGCACAATATTTTAACACCAATGTAAATCTCAAAAAACATGAAACCTGGCTCTATATATTGAGCATTTTATAGGCTCTGCTACAAATCAGGTGCCTATCACTCACCCAGTTAAGTTGTGTGCAGTTTGAAGAATAAAACTGATGCCTCAAGTTTTCAGCAGGGAAAAAACCAGTAATGCAGAAAGGCATCCAAAAAAGAAGGTAATACTTCATTAATCTAGGTCAGAGTCACAATTCTGATGTCTAAAGTTGAAGTAGGCAAGGAATCACAATGTTTTGTGTAAACTGCATCAGGAACCTCAATCCATAGCTCAATATATAACTGAGCAATAAATTTAGAAGTCCTTATTGTATAGGCATTTTGTGTCCAAATTCCCATTTCCTTGTTTCTATAAAGAGTCTCAACTATTTAAATATAACTATGGCAAAGTAGTCAAAACCATTTCATGTGTAACAATTCGCTAATAAAACAGAGGACATTTACCAAGTTATGGCTAGATTATTTACTATGCCGAGAACTAAGATTCTTACTTATAATACATTGCCCATTTCTTAGAATCATTTTTTGAATTCCATTAGGTTACCTCATCTTTGGACTTCCACCTGATTAAGAATGTTAAAAAAAAATACAAAAAGTGCATATGAAGATAGGAGTCCCCTGGTCTTAGAATTTCTAGCCCAGGGAGTATGCAATAGTTTCTGCTTTTCAATTTCCATCATTAATGGTTCAGTATCTGTTCATGGAACTTTATTTTAGTCTCATTAGTAAAGTTCGAGCTCTTACTTCTGTGCACGGATCAAAATTTGTTTCGGTGTATTGTTTTGATCACCTAGGAAACGGAAATGTTTCGACTTGTTTTGAAAATGTTTCGACCAGTTTCGGAAACATAACGAAAAAAAATACAAAATTTAAAAATTATTTTTCTAAAACATGGATCGAAATATATCAAAAGATCTTGAAGTACCTTGAAATATTCTGAAACAATTGTACAAATACATTGAAATATTATAAAATATCTCGAAACAGTATAGAATACCTCGAAATATCAAAATTTCGATTTCATCGCTGATTCGTTTCGGTCTCCTTGTAAACGGAAACATTTCGGACGTTTCGACCATTTCGAAACAAAATTTTGATCTTTGTTTCTATGTTAATTTCCCTTATACAATACCAATGTTTTTTTCTAGTTCATTGCTTCTAGAGATCTACTTGAAGATGCCAGCAACCAATTGACATTATCTCAGAACTGATAACTGATACTAAAATAGATTTATCCATAAACATTGAATTTTAACTTGTAACCAAAACTTTCTGTGTTTAAATATCTCCTTCTTCAGAAATTCTTTTTTCTTCCAGTAATTTTAATTTGTGTTATCGGTATAGGAAGTGGACAATTTATTCTCATCTCCATTTAATTATTCCTCTCTTACTTCCTCCATACTGTCTTTTTTTTCTCTTCTCTTATACTTTCTTCTCTTTCTCTCTACACCTCTTTTCTTTTATCTATTGACCTCTTTCTCTCTCTCTCTCTCTCTCTCACACACACACACACACAGAATGGAATAGGTGCAGAATGGACTCTCAATTACTAAACAGTGTCGAGTTCAAGATGAATAAAAAGTGGTCAATACAGGTTACAGCCATTTAGAAATATGGCTGTAACATGTCACTGTCACATATTTTTTTAAGTTAAAGTTATGTTTTGTACTTCTTTAGCACTTCAACTTCCAAACAATCTTCAATACATATATCATTGAGCAGTTCAACACTTGAACAAACAATGGCAGCTGGTTTTTGTACATCAATATAACCTTGGTATGTGCTTGGAATTATGGTTTCCTTTAGGATCTCAAATCTAAACAAAATACATGTATTAAGTTATTTTTACCTGTGAAACAATCATATGCAACTAACATGATTAAGCATTCCATTAAATAAAATGGTGCTTTAATGTTATGCAAGAACAGTTCAAAATTTTAACAGGTGACACTGACAATAATCAGTTATTGAGAGTTCGATGAAACCCCACTTCTAATCAGTGTATATAACTCTGCCCCTACTCATGCTGATAAAATCAGTGCCAAGCTATGGACCTTAACTATGTTAGGAACTGATTGGGGAAGGGCTGTCCCATCCCAAAAGCATCCATTGCTAAGCCCACTCTAAAATTTCATAATTTCAGATGTATGCTAAATTCCTTCCATACCAAAGTACAACAGATAAAAAATGCAAACAATCAGTTCGTCCAAGGATTGGTTGTTAAAGTCACTTGCCTGTACAAAAGAAACAATTTTAAAGAGATGGAACAATGCTTTTTTACCTCTAAAGGGAAACAACTTCAATTCTATATAAAATCTATCAAGTAGAAAGGGGAAAGGAAACCACACTTCAATTGACACCAATATGAACTTGAAGTAAATAGAAAAAACAAAATGGAAGGTACCTTTATTGCAAGCAAACCTAGAAAGCAGGGTTTGTCAAAAAGGTGAGCCAAAAATAAATGTTTCAGATTTCCCTGCACATAGTAAAAACAAAAAAAAAAAGGAGTAACATCAATGCACAAATTTTAGAAATCTCTCAGAGATTTGCAAGTACAGAGCTCAAGTTTTAGATATATCTGAGGGATTTCAAGCACAGAAAGACAAAAACTGTAAAGGACTCGTGAATCCAAAGATGGTCATTACAACAATCACACTAACAACCCAAAAACAAATGCGTCAATCTTCAACAAATTAAGCTAACTTCTCACATAATAAGGTGATGCAGCTTTATTGCAGTAATTACATATTGGAAACATGAAATAAAATTAGTTTGTTCAGGATATGTTGCGTTCAATGGCACTACCATATTACACAAATTCAACACCATACAAAAAACCAGCAGACTTAATGTCAAAATCTATTTCGAATTGTATATTGATGAATTTTCTTTCAGACATTGTTAATTGATAAAAAAAAGGAAGACTCGATATGATGTACATAACTGATGTGAACTGTCATAGAAGCATGTTAAGAACGTTGAAAAGTTCTTTGCAATCTTAGCCATGCACTGATCTAATGCAACATATCAATTATATATTCAACATCAAACTAATAGGATGAAGAACNTCTCTCTCTCTCTCTCTCTCTCACACACACACACACACAGAATGGAATAGGTGCAGAATGGACTCTCAATTACTAAACAGTGTCGAGTTCAAGATGAATAAAAAGTGGTCAATACAGGTTACAGCCATTTAGAAATATGGCTGTAACATGTCACTGTCACATATTTTTTTAAGTTAAAGTTATGTTTTGTACTTCTTTAGCACTTCAACTTCCAAACAATCTTCAATACATATATCATTGAGCAGTTCAACACTTGAACAAACAATGGCAGCTGGTTTTTGTACATCAATATAACCTTGGTATGTGCTTGGAATTATGGTTTCCTTTAGGATCTCAAATCTAAACAAAATACATGTATTAAGTTATTTTTACCTGTGAAACAATCATATGCAACTAACATGATTAAGCATTCCATTAAATAAAATGGTGCTTTAATGTTATGCAAGAACAGTTCAAAATTTTAACAGGTGACACTGACAATAATCAGTTATTGAGAGTTCGATGAAACCCCACTTCTAATCAGTGTATATAACTCTGCCCCTACTCATGCTGATAAAATCAGTGCCAAGCTATGGACCTTAACTATGTTAGGAACTGATTGGGGAAGGGCTGTCCCATCCCAAAAGCATCCATTGCTAAGCCCACTCTAAAATTTCATAATTTCAGATGTATGCTAAATTCCTTCCATACCAAAGTACAACAGATAAAAAATGCAAACAATCAGTTCGTCCAAGGATTGGTTGTTAAAGTCACTTGCCTGTACAAAAGAAACAATTTTAAAGAGATGGAACAATGCTTTTTTACCTCTAAAGGGAAACAACTTCAATTCTATATAAAATCTATCAAGTAGAAAGGGGAAAGGAAACCACACTTCAATTGACACCAATATGAACTTGAAGTAAATAGAAAAAACAAAATGGAAGGTACCTTTATTGCAAGCAAACCTAGAAAGCAGGGTTTGTCAAAAAGGTGAGCCAAAAATAAATGTTTCAGATTTCCCTGCACATAGTAAAAACAAAAAAAAAAAGGAGTAACATCAATGCACAAATTTTAGAAATCTCTCAGAGATTTGCAAGTACAGAGCTCAAGTTTTAGATATATCTGAGGGATTTCAAGCACAGAAAGACAAAAACTGTAAAGGACTCGTGAATCCAAAGATGGTCATTACAACAATCACACTAACAACCCAAAAACAAATGCGTCAATCTTCAACAAATTAAGCTAACTTCTCACATAATAAGGTGATGCAGCTTTATTGCAGTAATTACATATTGGAAACATGAAATAAAATTAGTTTGTTCAGGATATGTTGCGTTCAATGGCACTACCATATTACACAAATTCAACACCATACAAAAAACCAGCAGACTTAATGTCAAAATCTATTTCGAATTGTATATTGATGAATTTTCTTTCAGACATTGTTAATTGATAAAAAAAAGGAAGACTCGATATGATGTACATAACTGATGTGAACTGTCATAGAAGCATGTTAAGAACGTTGAAAAGTTCTTTGCAATCTTAGCCATGCACTGATCTAATGCAACATATCAATTATATATTCAACATCAAACTAATAGGATGAAGAACTGGGGATCATAGTTAGATGACCATTATAATTGAGATACACACCGTTATGCTGTACAACCTATAGAGAACATCATTCATGCCACCAGTTTCTTCATTTAATGATAACCAGTGTCGTTCGATTGTATACTTTGATATGACATTTTGTACACGGTTGTAGAAGTAGTCAACCATCCATATCACCATTTTTAGAGCTTGAGCATTACTGGCAAATATATGCTGATCCAAAAGACCTGCCAATACCTGCCAAAGTTGACCGAGTATGAGGCTAGTCATAAAAAAATGAATTTACCTAAATTAGTAGAGCACGCAAAGAAGTTTCTACCTTATGAACTGTGTAATACGGTGCCCATACGGGTTTTATAGCTTCAAAACGATCAAATAGCTCAGATGGGAAAGCAGAAAGATACCCTGTACCCATTTGATCCTGACAAGCAGAGAGAGCAGAAACCACTGCAGACATTTTCTCTTTGAGAGTATCATTGTGAGTGCTAGCCCACATTTGTGCTGATGCACTCATGTAATGCCCTTCAGTAGCTCAAAAACGAGTGTTACTAATCACATAATGTTACAATTTCATGAATCAAAACATATGTTTAATGTGTAAAAATGCTATTAAGTTGGGACTAAAACTCGAGTAGGAGACTAATAAATACATACGAAAAACCAATCAAAGGACTTGAAATGTGGGACCACTTGATTCTAGTTTTTTAATTAATCCATTGCATATCTGGACTAGTCAAGCTTCAATGCAAGTGGAATTTAAAGAACACAGTCAAGCAATGATGCTTATTGTCATGTGAAGTAGCTTCACGGAAACATAATCTTGGAATCATTGAATGATAGGTAGCCCGAGTACCAACGATAGCACACAAATTATCTATTAACAGCCAAAAACTAAAGTTCATTCAGAAGTGCAAGCATTTTGCGTGCGGGAATGGTAGTTACAACAAAAACAAGCATGAAGAGGATTACTCATCACAGCTCATAGAGATTACGGTTTGCAATTTGGCCGTCCCTCTGCTGAAGAGTTAATGCAGCAGAAATAAAAAATTCCAAGGCATAAAATAAACAAGGAAAGCATTGAGTCATTAGGTGTTCACTTTTCAGGCATATTGATTCCTTCCCTCGGATTGTTTACATAGTAGACAGTGATTTTTAGTGACATAAAACAATCTTATTAAACCATGCTTTCCTATGCGTAAGCTGTAAGGGTTGGACTTGAGAAAGTACAATTTGAAACCCAGTAGGAACAAATTTAAGAACAAAGTAACTAATCAACGAAAAAAAAAACTATACCAACCTACAAAATGACCACGAAGCTCGCAATTCGGGGCCTCCCAGCCCCCATATGGGTTGCCTGGAGTTGGCAAATCAGCAGTTTTCCTAAAGCTCCAAACCAAGCTATCAACATCCAACAGCAACAAATATTCCAAATTTGTTTGCTGAGCCTGTCCATGAATTGAATCTGGGTCTAATCTCACATCATGCAGTGACACTTCATTAAGAAAACCCCCAGGCCCTTCAACCCCACCTGAGTTCTTCAGTTTCTTATACATCATCATCCAACTAAATTCATCGTCTTCCTTCAAAATCTTCCTTGGAAGCAAATTAGCCCACGCAGAGTCATCTGTGGGTATCAAATGGTAATGGCCAAACATCTCTTCTTTCCAAGTTTCATTGTTTGATGACAACAATTCATATCGAAGAGTATGTGATGATAATTGTGTTGGAATGTTAGTACACTCTTTACTCAAAGCACACCCACATAACTGAGACAGAACAATTAGTAGTACCCAACTGAAGAACGTATAATACTTCATTTCTATCGAATTCCCCGAGCAAGAAAAGCCCAAAATTCGAGTGAATTCAACAAGATCAAAATTCAGTGAAGGACATATTTTGCAAACAAATTCAATCAACTAGTATGTAAGATAAAGCTAGATATTTTGAAGTAGAAGAGTGTCAAGACCCTTATAGGATATATGATCTAACCATGAAAGAGACAATTGAGGCTCAAAACCAAAGTTTCTCGTGAAAGGCAAGGATGGTTTCTTGTGAAGCCGAAGTCATCCTAACAGAGAGATATTTTGATAGTGAGTGAACAATAAAGACAGGAAGTAGATAGACAGAGAGTGAAAAACCCAGAAACACCAAATTAACCCGGATTAAAATCAGTAAATCACAGTGAAAAATATATAGTCACACTGGTAATTTTCGTAGTGAGTGAACAAAAGAGACATAGTAGACAAAGGGACAAAGAGAGTAAAACAAAGCTAGGAGAAAATAAACCCAGATCAGAATCAAAGCTTTTGCTCCAAATTCAACTTCAAATGAGAAAAAAATAAAAAACTGGACTTACGTTATTCAAGTACAATGAAATGTCCATGTCAAGCCCAATATAATTATATAAAAATAACAATCAATCAAGAAGCAAAACAATGCCGTTGAAGACAAGAAAATTTTGATATCTTGCAATGCAAATTATACATAGACTTACACGATACTTATAAGCACACAGATATACATCTAGAGAGAGAGAGAGAAAGAGAGAAGTTTGTTCAAAGAAAACAGAGAGAGAGAAAGATATAGACAGAGAAGACTCACGGATGGGGTGTCGTTATCTTTGGGTGGGTGGTTTGGAGTTGACTGAGTGAGAACTTTTTGAGAACGTGAATTTTGGTATTTTCCTCCGGCGAGAGGGAGAGGGAGAGAGAGAGAGAGTTTTGTGATTCGATCAACCATTTATGTATCTTCGCGCTCTAATCAGCTTAAAAAGCGTAAGGCAAATTTGGTTCTTATGCTTTCTATCTTATGCCCACCCGTGAAAAGCTTCCGGGAATTTGTTGCCTTGTTGCTTAGCTTTTTACTAGACTATGATACACTTTACAGGCTAAGGCGTGTTTGCAAAAAGTGCTTTCATGAAAAAAATAAAATAAAATAAAATGTGCTTTGAGCTTACATTTATTGAGAAATTACAGTTGTTTAGTTAATCAGTTAAAAAATTAGTATTATGATTAAAAATAGCAGTAGTGTGACAATTGATTCATAAATTCCAACGGCGAAAACTCAGTTATTACTTTGAAATTATAAGTGAAGTGTTTAATTTGAAGATGTCGATATATATTTACTGTTTATCTAGTAATGAGTATAAAGATTGGTTGTTATGATAATTCATATATAATTCAAAAAATTGATTTATATTGACGCCCATAAAAAACACTCATGCCTTGGCTTGGCCATAAGGGTGGGACTCGTGGTTGGATACTGGGATTCGAAATTCATAGACCTTCAATGAGATTATAAAAATAAAAAACGTCAACTTTGTCAATAATAACCCAAAAAAAAAGAATAAAAAAAAAAGTTAGGAATGCTCTACACGTAAAGAAAAGAAAAGAAAAGAAAATCTCGATTCATGCTGAAGATTGCTATAATCCCACCTAGATATTGAAGGGAAAAAAAATTTCAATTTTATCAATAACAATTGAAAAAATGAAATCTTTAAAAAATAAAAGAGTAATGTTATTTGTACTTAAAATTTTGACTTAATTTGTTGACTTTATGATGTGTCTTTATTAAAACTATTAGATCAACATTAAATTCTAATATTTGATAAAATTTATAATAAATTCAAAAGTCATAGTAAATTAAATCAACAAATTAAATCTCAATAACATTGTTAAAAATAAATATAAGAAAACTTCGATTCTTGCTAAAGATTACAATAATCCCATATTACAGTTATCTCATTCAAATGAAATCCGTACAACTATTTTACGCACCATAATGACACATATATTAATAGACTTCTCAAAATTTGACACGACACGAACTAAACAGATTTAAGTGAGACATTAACAGGTTTAGGTGGTAAATGGGTTGACTTGTCAGATATATTTAATAAATGGGTCGTGTTCGGGTAAGACCTATCAAACCGTTTATCACACGTTTACCCGTTTAAAAAAATTAATATAATAATAAATTAATAATTATTTTAAAAAATTAACCAAAAAATAGTAAATAAATCTATAAAAAAAATAAAATAGTAGTTCAAAGACAAATAAAGATAGATAGGAGTAGTTCATGACAAAGACAAATTAACTCCTTTTGTTTTGGTCCCACATAGGCAAATAAAGGTAGACAGTGGCCTCTTGCCTTTTTTTTTAGCCTTCAAATTTGATTTTTATGTAAAATTTGGCTAAAAAATTTTTTTTTTTTGAGGTAAATACAATTGTCAGTAAAATAAGTGGTATATTAAAATTTGTTGATATAATTTTTTTTTTAAAATTAAACAGGTTAAAGTAGTCGTGTCGTGTTACCCGTTTATTAAACAGGTTGTGTTCGTGTTAAAATTTTTTATCCGTTTATTAAACGTGTCGTATACGAGTTTACATGTTTTTCATCCATCACCTGTTTAACTCGACACGTAACTATTTAATCTGACACATTTAACATATGTTTAGTTAATTTAAATTTTTTTTATCATATCTCTCTTAAGCTTTCACAGCGGGGAAGCCTAGGGCTACAAGAATCCTGGAAAGATTGTTGTTAGACTTTTGAAGCGTTGGATTTTCAACCACTTGACTAATGAGGCAGAATAATGAGGGGAATTTACAAGACTAGTATGAGATTTCAACATTTACACCTTGGCACCTTTTTGGGAAGTTTGATAGAAAGAGTGGTCCTTTCTTTTGGAAAGAAACTAGAAGAAGTCATTTGGAACAAGTGTTGCATCTTATCTGGCTGCCACCAACTCATGATGGGATTATTATTATTATTATCTGCAAATGCAGCCTCATTATAGTCAAGGTTCGTACCCATTTAATCCTCCAAAAGGGGAAGATTGATTACGAAAGTTGAACCACTAATGCGGTTACATTTGCACTATGCTGAGACTTAAACATTGTCTTGCCTTCCGGGTTTGAGTGTCTAAACATTGTCCCACCTTACGCATTAATAAGATTATATTCACTTTGCGTCTTCAGAAAAATTCGTGGTAACGAGAGTTTTGTGTATTAGATTATCTTTTATGTCTGACCATTTGGATAAGATTTTTATTGCTCCAAGTGCGATTCAAATATCGAACCCGAATTTGATTTGATTATTAGATGAATTTTATAATTTATATTCAACTGCACTATTACTCTTAGTCAAATGTCCATTTTGATTCAAATAATTTAATTTGAATTGATTTTAGCACTAAACCTAAATTTTAACTTATATTTTATCTAAATCTAAATCTAAATTCATCAAATACCACATAACAAATGTGAATTTAGAAAATCGATCAAAAATATTATTCTTTATTCGACTAATCATTTAAATTGGGATCAAAGGAGGGTATACTTTTCGTACATACAGTGATGCACATTGAATACCCAACTATTTTCCTTCTCTAAGATATTGATCAAAGAAAAATTACTTCCTCGGACATTTCGTGTGGGCATTTAGTTCTTGTTTTGTTAGGTTCTTCAGCAATTAAAAGTTTATTGCTGGCTTGCTAGTATTTACTTGCCCAGATAATTTTTATTTATTTTTATTTCATGACAAAACAATGAAGTAACAGACTCAGTAAAAAAACAGACGCCTAACAACAATAAACACACATTATGTATATGATGTCTCAATCAGTTGAGTTGGATGGTTGGATCCGGCACTCAAACGCCCCCGTCATTCTCCCAGTATGGTTTTAATAATTATGGATTGAAATAATTATGGTTTTAAACATTATGTACGTGAAATTAGAGGAGAAAGAAGGGGAGAGAGAGAGAGAGAGAGAGAGATTGCGATCTTCTTGGCACCATGCTTGCTGGCCATACATTTCAATAAATGTACTGAAATGATACCCATGTTTGGTTCACATGCTAATTTGTCCAACTAGGCAATTGGATGTTGTTTAAAAACACCAGAACCACTCACCCACGCGTGAATCAAATAAGTTAATCGGAAAAGAGATCCTCTTCACAATGATACCGTTTAATTTAGTGTAAAAAACAAAATCTCCATAACTAAGCTTTGGTCTTACTTTACTCCTTATCCTTTTATGAATTGTATTTAATTCTTTTTAACTTGTGACTAAACTGTAAATTTAATAGAATTTGTTTATTGTAACGGTGTAATAATTGCACCTGCTAATTAAGCATGTGTTATAAAATAAATAATTCTTTTAATAAATAAAAAAATTAAATTATCAATTTTACTCTGTATCTTCTTATTCTCTCTCATCTCTCGTACTCTCTCTTTCCAAACCGGTAAATTCATTTTAGACCCATCAAATGACTTGTTTTCTTAAATCTTTGGTCATTTTTAAACTCCTCAACCCCAAATTAACTAGACCCAACCCCCTTTTGAAGCTTTAACAAATTTTTCAAAAATTTGATTATTAAGTTTCCAAACCCTAGTGGGTTTCTTCACACCTTGATCATGGCTTCCAAGCATTCCAATACATTGTACTACAACACTATAACACAACCCAAGAGTCAATTGAGGAAGAAATGATTGTTTGCTATGTAACTATTTGAAAATCTATAACCACTTTAAGTTTTAAATACAAATTCGAGCATACACACAACATGAAACTTAATCACACAAATGAAATCCTTATAGAAAAATAAGTCTGACCATGCTGACTTTACGTATTTTAAGCCTCTAAATTAAAAAT